AAATGGAAATTCCAATAACTTTGTAAATACCATAAAAAGATTCCTTGATGCTTTTACTAGTAGATTTACCTGGCATTGCCCAGGTCCAGCTGGGGGAAGGGGCAGGAGAGCCACTCAGCCACAGGCTTTGCCCCAGAGCTGAGACAAAAGATGGAGGAGGGATGGTGGGGTGAAGCCGGAGTGCTCAAGGGCCGTGTTGTTGTGCCGGGGGCAGTTCCCTGGAGTTGCATGCGCAGGTGGCCCTGGCATCTCCTCCAGGAGTGATGGTTTGTGGTCTTCTAGCATCTCCTGGGAGTGGGGAAGGCTGGGCCTGCACTGGCTGGCTCAACGGGTGGTTCCAGGTGGAGTATCAGGGCAGCTGGCTGGTAGGGCCCCCATACCGTGTGGTGCTGTGCCTGAGGGCTGGGGGGAAGGGTTTGGTGCAGGAGGGCCATTTACCTGGTGCAGTGGCCATGTGGAGCACCTGTCCCCAGCCACCCACATGCTGCCTGGTGCAGCTGCTGCTAATGGTCACTGTGCAATATAGCAGCCCCCTTTGCACGCTACCCCCAGTGATGACTGTTGGTATCACATCCATGTGTCCCCTCCCTTTCCATGTTCTGGAAAACATCCATTCCTGGCATGTCCCATTTTCCTGATGCAACCAAACCCAGACCTGCTTTAAGTTAGGGTAAGAGCAAGCTGCCTACCAAATTTGATTATCCTGGTTTTTACCATTTAGGAGGAGTTCTTGAACAGACTCACAGACTTATTTTATTTTATGTATTTACCAACCAGCCAAGGAGAAGCTATACTTCTCTTGCATGTGATCTGAAATAGGGAAGCAGAAAAGTTTAAAATCCTGAATGTTTTTCTCTTAAAATGTCAGCTGCTTCTATTAAACGAACACACTTTTTAGATACTCTATTTCAAGCACTCCATTTCAAGAAGTAATAGATATTTATGTTGCTATGGTGTTCATGAGTAATAGGGGCCATTAAATAGTGGGGACTCGAAATTACTGATAGACTGACAAATGGGTGTCTTAAAAAAAACTGGGAGGAAAAGATTATAGGGGAAAACTGATTAAAAAGCAGGTCCGGGAATTCTTGAAAAATGTATACCAGGCAGCATGGAGGAAAGACATACTGTGATATGAAGGAAATTAATACTAGCATCTACCACAATAGGGTGCTGCTCTGTGACGAGTGCTACAAGATGCTACAGCAGTACAAAGACTTAAAATAGCAAATAAGCTACTCTGTCCCTAATGACTACACTTGAAAAGTCAAGAGCTGTGCTAAAAGTGTAAATAAAGCAGTTTTAGTGCCAGTGGGAAGGAAAAAAATATTGCTTAATCCCAAAAAGTAACTGAGTGTCATTAGTCTCCAAGGTGCTATAGGACCATTATTGTTTTTTATTTATTTATTTTTTAGTTACAGTGTAACATGACTACCCCGATATGTCTACACTGCAAAGGTTTTTTGTTTTTTTTCCGGAAAAATGGCCGTTTTTCTGAAAAAACTTCACTTATGTCCACACTGCAATCGCGTTCTTTTGAGAGGAAAAAATGAAAAGAACGGAGGAGGTTTTCCAACATTGGTAAACTTCTTTCTATGAGAAAGAAGCCTTTTTGTGAAAGAGCTCTTTCAGAAAAAGGAATATGCGGACAGGGATGAGGAAAGAGGAAAAAGCACTGGTGTCCTGGTGGCCGTTCCACCCATAGTAATCACAGCTTACATGTAGAATAGTGATAGAAATGTAGCCGTGTTAGTCTGGGGTAGTTGAAGCAAAATGCAGGACAATGTAGCACTTTAAAGACTAACAAGATGGTTTATTAGATGATGAGCTTTCGTGGGCCAGACCCGAGATTCAGTGTGGATGCTATCTGTCAAAAAAGCTGATTGCTTTTTCTATGCTCTTTGGCAGTGTGGATGCTTTCTTTTGGAAGAAGTTTTTTCAGACTATCTCTTCTGGAAAAGCTTCTTCTGAAAGAAGCCTGCAATCTAGACATAGCCTGAGACTTTTAAACAGCTAAGGCTGTGTCTAGACTGGCAAGTTTTTCCGCAAAATCATCTGCTTTTGCGGAAAAACTTGCCAGCTGTCTACACTGGCCGCTTGAATTTCCGGAAAAGCACTGACGATCTCATGTAAGATCGTCAGTGCTTTTCCGGAAATACTATGCTGCTCCTGTTCGGGCAAAAGTCTTTTTCCAAAAGACTTTTGTGCAAAAGGGCCAGTGTAGACAGCACAGTAGTGTTTTCCGCGAAAAAGCCCCGATCACGAAAATGGCGATCGGGGCTTTTATGCATAAAACCGCATCTAGATTGGCCACGGACGCTTTTCCGCAAAAAGTGCTTTTGCGGAAAAGCATCCTGCCAATCTAGACGTGCTTTTCCGAAAATGCTTTTAACGGAAAACTTTTCCATTAAAAGCATTTTTGGAAAATCATGCCAGTGTAGACGTAGCCCTAGAGGTTATTGGACCCATCAACACTACCCTGCATGGAATATTGCCTCTTAAAGAGAATTACAAACTAAATGGATGAAGAGAAAATCCATTTAGCTAAGCACCTCGTGCCCCAAGTCTCTCATTATTCCTAAAAGCAATTTTAAAATCTGCCTGCTTATGAACACTGATAGAAAACTTCTGGATGAACCTTGAAGGTGTAATGACAAGTTGGAGGGAGTCTGAGTTGGAGGGAGGCTTTCTGTGAGGTGCCTCAGTGAGTTGATTATTTATAGAAAGGTAGAGCTTAGGGCTAACTTGCTCCCTGGGTGCTAGGCCCTGTACAAAGTTGGATCAACAGTCCCTACTGGAGAGAGTTTCCAGTGCAAACAGACCAAAGGGCCAGAGAAAAGGGGATTTTATGAGGTGCCTCAGTGAGTTGATTATTTATAGAAAGGTAGAGCTTAGGGCTAACTTGCTCCCTGGGTGCTAGGCCCTGTACAAAGTTGGATCAACAGTCCCTACTGGAGAGAGTTTCCAGTGCAAACAGACCAAAGGGCCAGAGAAAAGGGGATGTAA